GGGAGTACAGTAGGTGTCTATAGGGGATATGGGGTCTCTGGGGAGTAGAGTGGGTGTATGTAGGGGATATGGGGTCTCTGGGGAGTACAATAGGTGTTTGTAGTATGGGGGGAGGGATAGCTCAGTGGTTTGAGCATTGGCCTGCTAAACCCGGGGTTGTGAGTTCAATCCTTGAGGGGGCCACTTAGTGATCGGGGGCAAAATCAGTACTTGGTCCTGCTAGTGAAGGCAGGGGGCTGGACTCAATGACCTTTCAAGGTCCCTTCCAGTTCTAGGAGATGGGATATCTCCATTAATTTAGGGTCTGGGAGGCATGTACAGGTGATAGGGTGTCTGGGAGCATAATAAGTGTGTATAGGGTCTCTAGTGGGCTTGTGGGGGTTATAGGGTTTCTGGGGGGCATAGTGGGTGTAAGTAGGGGTATACAGTCTCGCTGGGGATGCATACAGACCATACAGGGGAGAATGCCTGTGTGGGGTAGATTGGGGTGTTTGTAGAGGGGAGTGTAGGGAAGGGAGTTCGATGTGAAGATGTGTACAATGATGTAAACACACCTGGAGTTCCCCTCAAAGCCATTTAACTGCCCATCTGACCCTCCAGCAAGTATTCATATATAGCATCTGTCCCAAAATGCTGTCCTGTTTGTTGGGGTAGGAGACATTGCTCAGGAGGGTGAGAAATCCACACCACTGAGTGGCGTAGTTTAGCCAACCTAAGTCCCCATCTAGCCAGTGCTAGCTCTCTTGAAGAATTCTTTGGTCTAACTAGCTGCTGTCTCTTGGGAAAGTGGATTACCTATGCCAACAGGAGAATCTCTCCTGTCAGCATAGATAGTATCTATACTGAAGCCCTACAGCTGTAGTGTTTTAGGTGAAGATAAGCCCTCAGGAATAGTGGATAAAGGTTTCCTCTTTAATAACCAAGGAAACCTGTGATGTGCATGCCTGGCCTTTGCAACCTGGGAACTCCCATTGTTTGTCCAATGCCTGCTTCTCATGTACAAGGTGTTACACCATGAAGCTCAACACACTGGCATTGCAGTCCTACCAGGGCACTACAGTGTTGCTTGAGTGACTCCATTCTTTCCTTTCTGACAAAAGCCAGAGAGTAGTACTGGGCAATTTGACTATCTCCCCTGAAAGCTCTTTCATGCAGTCTGTAAGGCCTGGTCTACACTACAAAATTAAGTCGACTCAGTTAGGTTGACGTACAGCCACCACAGTAATTACTATGGTTTTTCATGTCCACACTATGCCCCCTCTGTTGGCAGTGCACATCCTCACCAGAAGTGCTTCTACCAATTTAACTGACAGTATAGGGCATTGTGGGGCACTGACAGCTCCCATGGGCTCCGGCAGTCAGCCCTGCATAGGGCTGAGAGCTCCGGCAGTCAGCCCTGGGTCAGTGGGGTTCCGGTGGTGAGCCCTGCGCAGGGCTCATAGCTCAGGCTCTCAAAGGCAGCAACAGGCCATGTAAGTTACGCATTGTCTACACCAGCAGTTCTCAACCTGTGGCCACATGTGGCCCAATTAGCACACAGCTGCTCTGGTCTGGCAGGGGGCGGGGCTGCCTGAGGGGGAGACAGCATCTGGCAGCCTGTAAGAGCGCTTCTGCCAGCCTGGGGCTGGTGAGTGCCATAGGAGGGCAGGGTGCGGGAGAGTGGGTCTCTGGGCAAGTTGGGGGGGAGGGGGACTCTGTGAACTAGGGGTTTGCAGGGGTGCTGCAGCACCCCCAGGTTTTAGGTGAGGCTCCACCCCGGCCCTGCGCCTTGCGCTCTGCACCTAGCCAGGTGCTGGAGGTACTGGCTGCCTGGCCTGGTGCAGCAGGGTCCGGGTCCCGGCTGTCCAGCGGGTCCAGCGGCAGGGTACAGCTGTCGGCTGCCACCCGGCCCTGCACGGCAGGGTCCAGGTCCATCTGCTGCCCAGCGTGATCTGGGACGGGGCTGGCTGCTGCCTGGCCCCGCGTAGCAGTGAGGTCCAGGGTCTGGCTGCCAGCTGACGCCTGGCCCCGCACAGCGGGGTCTCAGGGTTTGGGTGCTGGCTTCTGCCTGGCCCCACCTGGTCTACACAGACACTGTGTTGACTTAACTACATCAACCTAAGTGCTAAGCCTCTCGTGGCGGTGGAGTTATTATGTCGGTGTAATGGGTGACTTGCATCGGCGGGAGCAATGGTGTAGTATGGACATTTACAGAGTTAGGTCAACATAAGCTGCCTTACGTTGATCTAACGCTAGTGTAGACCAGTTCTAAATGTACATCCAGTTAAGTCATAATGTATTCCTGGCAGTAGCTGAATCTGCGAAGGACAGAGCTGTCAGAAGTCGACAGCAGGACTCACCCACAAGGAGTGCTAAGCTACCCTTTGAGTGGTTATAAACCTAAACGGTTCTAGCTTTATCTCTCCGCGTGCTACAGCCCAAATGTAGAACAAACACCCCAAATGAGTAGAGAAAAAAGTACTGATGGGGCAAAACTGAAGTGCTGTGAGATTCCTTTTTAGTGTAAAAAACTCTACATTTTCAGTTTAATTATTCTTTATTTCTACTAAAAATAGTTTTCAAACAATAGAAGTACAAACACACCAAGTATGTGTAGAATATAGGTAATTGGGATGTGACCAAAATGGGGATGTCTGGCAAGAAAGACTCAGGAGGGTAACTATTTTGTAAGTGACTGGTTTCAGAGTGGTAGCCGTGTTAGTTTGTATCAGCAAAAACAATGAGGAGTCCTTGTGGCACCTTAGAGACTAACAAATTTATTTGGGCATAAGCCCAATAACAGACTTAAAAGTGGCAATTCTTCAACAACAAAAAAACTTCAGAAACAGACTCCAACGAGAAACTGCAGAACTGGAATTAATTTTCAAACTGGACACCATCAAATTAGGCCTGAATAAAGACTGGGAGTGGATGGGTCACTACAAGAACTAAAAAAAAAAAACTAATTTCCCCCTACTGTTACTCACACCTTCTTGTTAACTGTTTGAAATGAGCCACCCTGATTACATTGCCCTCATTGCCACTACAAAAGTGATTTTTCATCCTGTTGATAATAGCCCACTTTAATTGAACTGTCTCAACCCCCCACTTGGTAAGGCAACTCCCATCTTTTCATGTACTGTTATATATATCTTCCTACTGTATTTTCCACACCATGCATCTGATGAAGTGGGTTCTAGCCCACGAAAGCTTAGGCCCAAATAAATTTGTTAGTCTATAAGGTGCCACAAGGACTCCTCGTTGTTTTGTAAGTGTTAGTCCCTCACCTTAGGTGAGTTTATTTTCCAGACACCACTACTGTAATAGGACAGGAAGGACGTAGAAAGGGGAAGGGGAGGGGGAAAACAAACACAAAACCAGCAGAGATGATAAATACTGAAACAAAGTCAAGGAAATAGACGACACTGAGGAACTAAATGAAAAGAAGCAAAGTTAAAATGAGAAGTAAACTAAGCCGTAACAGACAGATTCAAAGAGAAAGCAAAAACTGGAAAACAAAAATGCACCCCCTCCCTCCAAAATGCAACAAAAGGAAGAAAAACCCCACATTTAAAGATGGGAGGGGGGAAGATATGGAAAGACAGATACACTGAAAAGAAAGACACTATATAAAATTGCTTCAAAGTATTAAAGGGAAAAGGTGTGGTTACAGCACACAGCCACTGCAGATTATGTGGGAGCAGAAAACATCTTTATTTCTGCTTTGTGATGAAACCCAAATTCCTCTCTAACATATACTTTTACAGTATTGCCCCATTTTTACTTTGGGGACAATATTAAGTGTTGTTTCATAACTAAAGTTTCTATTTAAGAATGTTTTCCTACCATACAAATCTATTATCGTGGAGCATTTGTAAAATACCTTTGCTTCTGCACCCTGAAATCCAGGGGGCTTCATAGGTAACACTGGATATACCTTACATAACATTTCACTTCCACTGACTGTCAAGAATTACAATTCAAGTTTTCATACCATTTTGAAATACTCAGTTTCCTCATCCCTCCGCCCAATTCTCGACCCCGTGGCACTTCTCCATCCTCCTGGTTCGAGGGAACTGTTGCAAAGGTTTTCCCACGGGCCCCTGATGGCAGTGCTCCTTTGCAAGCTGTTCTTTCGAGTTCCCTTCTGAACTCGAGTGCCCCAGGGCTACTGGGGTGTACTCCATCTGGGTGAGCCAGCCACAGGAAAACACCTCTCTGCACAATCGGATCCACAAGTAATGCACAGAATTGCTATAATAATCCCCCCAGGATCTGGTTCCAAGCACCTTTCCTGCCCCACTGGCTTCCCCGCTTCTCTGCAGCTGTCTCCAGTCCCTGTTGCTTTCCTACGTGTGCAGGTCTGCCTTAACACGGCAGATTTGGAAAGCAGGAAGTCAGCCGGGGAAACCACGTGTGTAACACGAAGAGGGGGGGTATGTCCAGGGCGCAGCTTTTGCTTTCGCTGGAGTCGCTAAAGGGAGAATCTCTCCCACCCCTGGACCAGGAGAGCGGCGGACCTGCGAGCAGGGTAACCACAGAGCCCCCGTGCCCAGACCCCGCGGAGCCGCAGCTGGGATGCCTGGCTGGGGGGACCCCTGTGGGACGAAGCCTGTTGGGGGGCCGGCTTCTCAGTGAGAGCTCCGAGCCTGGGCCGGCGCTAGTGTAATCCCGGTCCGTTTCCCCGGGCCCCATGGGGTCGGCTCGGAGCTGGGAGCCCGGAGTAATAATCCTGCACCTGCTGCTCGGCGCGGGCTTGGGATCTTACGTGCTCCACGTGGATGTTTCGCAGTTTGAAAGGCCCCTGAAGCACTTCTGGAAAAGCACTGGCTTCTGGTAAGCGCCCTTTGCTTTCTGAACACACCCGCATCCAACTCGAGAGCAAGCTTCCTCCTGAAGTTCCTGCCGCCTGTAGGAAAGCCGGGCTGCTCTGCCTTTACATCCTGCATTGGTACCCCGCAGGGGGTAGTCCAGGAGGGAGGAGGGGGGTTTTCTTTATGACCTAAACAGCCCCCGCAGATAAACTAAACCGGGCTTGTAAATTGGAGAAGGCAGGTACCTAATTCAGATAGATTTTCAGGGTCTGTTTTGCAGACGTCAAAGCATCATATCCTGTCCCCCCCCACACACACACTTAGCTACTGATTACTAGTTTCTTCTAGTGCAGGGGGGTTGCACAGCTGTAGCAGAGCAGAACATGGCCCAGTATTATATTCCTATAGCTAAGTCTCAAGCAGCAAACTGGGTCTTAGGACAGGATAGAAGATTCAGCTATTTCCCCACCCCTTTCCGGGGCCTGTGAACATGCAGGGCCTTCTCCCAGGACAGTACATGCTGGGTTAACAGTCAGAACTCATGCATCACTTTGGTGTTTTAATTGTGCTCAAAGCCCCAAACAAACCGTAGTCCACCTTTCTCCTGAGTTGACTTTTTCTAGGGGCTTTTCCCAGCAAGTGCACCTCTCATCCCCTCACCTTGTTTTTGCCTTAGAGACTCTACATCTGTCTTCTTGCATTGGATAAATAGTCTGCCAGTCTGACAGCCAGTCTGAGGCCTCAGAACCTGCTCCATCTCGATGTGGGTCCAGGAACCCAGCATATTGTAACAGGCTCACAGATTTACTGCCCCCTCTATGGATAGGATTGTACTGCTCTGCCTGACCCCGAAGTAGACAGTCAAACGAATATGTGGCATCTTACACGAGTATCTATCCCATTGCCTGAGAAATGTGTGATTCCTTTTCCAGTCAAGCATCCTAGGGAGCCAGAGTTCCCAATCCACGCCATTGCCACATTACTGGTATCCGAGCAGTGCCTTGGTTACTCTGCAGCTGGAAGTTTGTGATAGGTTAAGCTGGAGACAAGGTGGGAAAGGTCTTTTATTGGGGAGGTATCTTTTATTGGACCAACGTCTGTTGGTAAGAGAGACGAGCTACACCAAGCTCTTCCTCCGGTGTGGGAAAGGCACTCAGAGTGTCACAGATAAATACAAGGTATTTGTGACCATGTGACCTTATTACATTATACTGGGTTCCAGGACCCGCATGGAGATGGAGCAGGGTTCTGATGCCTCATGCTGGCAGACTATTTACAAGGTATTTAGCTGTGACACTCTGAGTGCCTTTCCCAGCCCTGAAGAAGAGCTCTATGTAAGCTCGAAAAGTCTTCTCTCTCACCAACAGAAGTTGGTCCAATAAAAGATATTGCCTTACCCACCTTGTCTCCTGAATCTCTAGGCACTGCCAGTGTTAGGAGATTGGAAAAACCTTGGAAGTGAAACTTGATAAAAATGGAAAGTGTTTTTACTTAGACTGTTCAAATAACTCCTCTTAATTTACATACAGTGTTCAACTCACACCAAGGGAACACTTGTAAGAAAATCTGGAAGATTTTACACACTTCCCTCCCTCTCTTTAAATTAATAGCTAAGATCTCGCATTTAAGATCTCCAGGACAACAAGATGAGGGAAAGCTGGAGTCAACATTTGTGCTTTTAGAAATGCCAGAACATTAGAAGCACCACGCCCACCTATAAAATAAATAAAGTTAACAGTTATTTATCCATCAGAAAATAGCAAAACAGGCACCATCCCATTTTTTAATTTTGCAAGTCATCTTTAAAGGTGTTTTTACTGCTCAGGAAGAGTAGCAGATTAGCACCACTGGAAATGTGGTTTATCAAATGACCATGCACTACACATGCACAGACAGCAAAAAGTACAAACGTCCCTAATTTGCCAGTGTGCCTCAAGCCCAACCTAGGAGTGACTACTTCCAAGCGTGAGAGACTAGTTCAGATTTTGGGCCTCTTCAATATGTGACCTCTCTGCTGAGACCGAGGGCAGCGTTGATTGTGACTGTCATGTTTCTGGCATGGACAGTCCATGTTATTGATTGTTTAGACATCGTCAAAGACACCGAATAGTTAGTGCTAAACCCCAAGATATTTTTACCACAGTTTAAGGTTTAACTTCTGAACCACACCATGCTATAAAAAACATTTATTTCATATTTCTAAGTATCAGAGGGGTAGCCGTGTTAGTCTGGATCTGTAAAAAGCAACAAAGAGTCCTGTGGCACCTTATTGACTAACAGACATATTGGAGCATGAGCTTTCGTGGCTGAATACCCACTTCGTCAGATGCATGCTGTGATGGGTTGGATCACAGAAACCCCCTTGGGAGCTGCCACCCGATGTGCCAAGACTACCCCTGCTTCTGTTTTCCCTGCCAGCTCAGGACTCTAGCACCCTGTCTTGCTGAGTCAGACACTCCTGTCTGACTCCAACACAGACCAAGGGTCTGAATCACTTGTCCCAAAACTGCAAGTTTACCCAAAAACAGCTCACAGGAGTGTGCTTGTCTTTAGCACTCAGATGCCCAACTCCCAATGGGGTCTAAACCCAGATAAATCCGTTTTACCCTGCATAAAGCTTATGCGGGGCAAACTCATAAGTTGTTCGCCCTCTATAACACTGATAGAGAGATATGCACAGCTGTTTGCTCCCCCAGGTATTAATACATACTCTGAGTAAATTACTAAATAAAAAGTGATTTTATTAAATACAGACAGTAGGATTTAAGTGGTTCAAAGTAGTAACAGACAGAACAAAGTAAGTCACAAGCAAAATAAAATAAAATGCGCAAATCTATGCCTAATCAAACTAAATACAGATAATCTCACCCTCAGAGATGCTTCAGTAAGTTTTTCTCAGACTGGACACCTTCCAGGCCTGGGCACAATTCTTTCCCCTGGTACAGCTTTTGTTCCAGCTTAGGTGTTAGCTAGGGGCTTCTCCATGATGGCTCCTCTCCCCTCTGTTCTCTTCCACCCCTTTATATATCTTTTGCATAAGGCGGGAACTCTTTGTCCCTCTGGGTTTTCACCCCCCCTCACTGGAAAAGCACCAGGTTAAAGATGGATTCCAGTTCAGGTGACATGATCACATGTCACTGCAAGACTTCATTACTCACTTGCCAGCACACACATATACAGGAAGACTCACAGGTAAACACAGTCATCTGCAGACAATGGTCCTTGTTAATGGGAGTCATCAAGATTCCAAACCATCATTAATGGCCCACACTTTACATAATTACAATAGGCCCTCAGAGTTATGTTTTATATTTCTAGTTTTAGATACAAGAGTGGTACATTTCTACAAATAGGATGATCACACTCAGTAGATTATGAGCTTTGTAATGATACCTTACAAGAGACCTTTTGCATGAAGCATATCCCAATTACCTTACATTCACTTATATTTTTATAAAACCATATAGACTGCACAACGTCACACATGCGTCTGACAAAGTGGGTATTCACCCACGAAAGCTTATGCTCCAATACATCTGTTAGTCTATAAGGTGCCACAGGACTCTCTGTTGCATATTTCTAAGTGTACAGGAAAGGAAAGTTAAAGCCAGCTTTCTTTAACTTTTTCTTAAATGATGAGGTTATTATTAAGATTAGCTGAAAACATCTTGGGAACAATTTATAAAGCTCCATTTACAGTTTCCCCAAAAGGAAAGAAAAACAGATTAAAAGGAAAGCAGAAAAGGTACAAACAACAGTTCTGTTCAGGGCCAGTGCAACCCATTAGGTGACCTAGGCGGTTGCCTAGGGTGCTAGCATTTGGGGGGCGGCATTTCGGGTCTTTCGGCGGCGACCGCAGCGGCCGGCTCTTTGGCCGCCCCAGTCGTCGTCAGCATTTAGGCGGAGGGAGCTGGAGCAGGGGGGCACGGGGAGGGCCGCCTGCAGCAAGTAAGGGGGGGGGAGCGGCACGCAGGGGAACTCCCCGCCCCAGCTCACCTCTGCTCCACCTCCTCCCCTGAGCATGCCGCCCCGCTCTGCTTCTCTCCCTCCCAGGCTTGCGGCGCCAAACAGCTGATTGGCGCCACAAGCCTGGGAGGCGGGAGAAGTGGAGCAGTGACGGCGTGCTCGGGGAGGAGGCGGAGCAGAGGTGAGCTGGGGCGGGGAGCTGCCGCACGGCTCCCTGGG